AGTCTACCAGCTGAGACTGCAGTCATCTGAAGTCTGGATCATTGACGGTTATTGGCAGGCAACCTCAGTTCCTCACCTCCTAGACTTCTCCATAGGACACCTGAGTGTCCCCTTATATAGGAGCTGGCTCCTCACCGCCCCCCCCCACCCAGAGTAAATGATCCAAGAAAGGACGAGCCTAAGACAGAAGCTGCAGTCTCTTAGAACCTAATCTCAGAAGTGACACACCATCATTCTGCTGTATTTCATATGGACCAACACCTGGTACCGTGTGGAAGGAGACTACACAAGGGTGTGAATACCAGGAGGTGGAGATCATTGGGGACCATCTTGGAGGCTGACTAACACACCAAGAGAGACAAGTGTTTCAAGTGTGTGAGTCAAAAAAGACAAAGGACAAAATATGCTTATCTGCAATTTTGCCTGCAGGAAACACTAAGAGAATGCAGTAACTACACCTGCCTGAACTGAGCCAGGTAGGAATACTGACACATAAAAGCACCTCAAACATAGACCAGCTACTTCAGTTCACACCCATTTACTTCTCATATCATAACTGTCCATTTGATCTTAGAAACTCTCCTTCTACCACTTCACAATAACTAACAATTCACAAGCCTCCTGACATCCACTTCCGCAAGTAAACTTTAGGTATTTTTAAGATAAAATACTATATTAATTATAGTGTTTATGTATTTCTTAGCCATCCCTCCTAACATTTTTGTTGGGTTCCTTTTTTTTTTCATGTGTAACTGATTAAGTTTTTGAGTATCATACTCCCATCCTATTTTTCCATAAACCCTGTGGTTTTTATTGTGTGATTCTGCATAGCACAGTGATTTTTATGAACACATATGTTGCATTAGAACAAAACTGTGTAACATTCAGCATATAGTCCTAATTTTAACAGTAAGAAAATTGTAGCTTGGAGAGGTAGAATATCTTGCCAAAAGTCACATGGCTGTTAAGTGAGGAATTCAGATTTTATCAAAGATCCATCTGGCTCCAAAAACCACCTTGTTTCCACGGCAGTATTTCCCCACATGAACAGTTAAAATAGGGGAGGGGAAGGAAAAATTAAAATAAGATGAAAATAGAGAGGGAGGCAAACCATAAGAGACACTGAACAAACAGGGTTGCGGGAGGGGAGGTGGTTGGGGGAAAGGGATAATTGGGTGATGGGCATTAAGGAGGGCATGTCATGTAATGAGCACTGGGTGTTAAATGCAACTGATGAACCCCTAAATTCCATCCCTGAAACTAATAATACAGTACGTGTTAACTAAACGGAATTTAAATAAAGAATTTTTTTAAAAATAAAACAGATAATATTAGATCAACCTTAGCTCAAGTGTTGTTTCTATTTTATGCAACTTGATTGATAGTTCCCATGTGTCCTATTCTAGGTAATAGAATATATATTCTAACGTATGTACATATGTATGTCTATTTGTCTATCTGAAGAGTTCTCTATTACCCATAAATAAAGAAACAAATTTAGAAATTTCATAGTCTCCAAACAATGATTAAGTGGTCTTTTTAGATGAATGATGCATGATATAATTTTACTTGGTATATATTAAGTATTAATGTTCTCTTTCATCTCAAATTTCCTTTTTCATATATTTGATTAAGGCACAAGATAAGTAATAATACTACCACTTCTCCCTGCCTACAGTGCTTTCTCAGCAATGACAGTGTTGGGGATTAGCAGTCGAGATCTTACCTGAGCCACTCAATGCATATGCCACAAAACTACTTAAATTAAGGAAGGCTAAGTAGTTCCACGATCTGGGCCACAAATGGTGGCGCTGCACAAGGATGAATGTGCAGTGAAATCTGTGTGAGGACTTCAGGTCGGTATATTTATGAGTGCTCTAAGAAAAGAAAAGACACTGGGGGACAGGTAACAAAATGGGCAGAAATGGTCGACTCACTGGTCCAAGAGGACCATTTGGTATCATATCCTCATTCAAGCCTAGACAGCTCCAGGGTGGATTTAGGTGCACATTAACTGAAAGTTGAATGTTTAAAGGGTTAGAAAAGTAAAGCACTAAGGGTATATACAATAGCATGAGAGGTGTGGGAGATAAAGCAGAATTAAATAATCTCTCTGAGAGGCTGGCTCAGTTATAAACATATGAATTACCTGAATGGAAAGGATGCCTGTCAGCTTTCCAGAGATAAACAACTGTGTTAATGTCAAAAAAAAAAGGATCAGAGTTTGAAAAATAGATAAAGTCAGCAGGATGAACTATGATGCCATATTTCAGTCTGTTAATCACATTTTTCATCAAAATAGGGAGTAAGTGATCGGTGTCAGAACTGAACTTTCTGTGCACCTCCAAACATTTGGTCATGCTCAGTTTATAGAAATGCCTGACTCTTGGCTTCACAGGATTTAAAGAACAAATGTATGGGAGGGAAATAAATCTTAGTCTAGGCTTTAAGGTTACTGGGAGTCTTGAGATAAACCCAGGTGCTGAGCAAAATTCTAGCCATCTTTGCAAATGGCTTGGGCCTTCCAGCCTAAGGTATATGATCTTATACAGGGTCATACTAATTTTACCTTGAATCCATTTACCTTGAATGTTCTACAAGCATTATTAGAGACCCAACAGTGTTATTCTCCATCCTTTAGCCATTTATAAAGAAAACTGCATTCGAATTTTCTTTTACAGTGAACTAGTGAAAAGTTTTATAATGAGAATATACATCTATAATCACTTTGTAACTGATTTCAATGCAGTGTGAAATTTTTTTTTCTTTTTTTCGTGGATGAGGCTGTCCCTTAACTACCTTATCTTATTTCTAATGTTATAAGTCTCATATTCAGCATATCTTATTTACCCTAGAAACAAAATATTATGCTTTGTTCTATAAAAAAATTGTTTATAGCATTTTCATCAAATCTGAAAAGCCAGTTGTAAGATGCACTATTATTTTAGTACCAGTAAGAAAGAAAAAAATTCTGCACATTCATAGTGTTCATCAATTATATACATCTCAGTTTCAGAGTCGTTAAAATATGCATCATAAAAGTAATGTAATATGGTATTTGATTATATCATAAAGTTAAATTGTTAGTTTCCATATAACTATAGCAATTAAAGATAAAACATAACAAATTTGTCATGAGTTTCTTCAATTATATATTTCTTTGATTTAGAACAAGTTTTCCATGTAAGTTAAAACATAAAGAACCTTCTAATGAACTCATAATAAATGCTATCGGAAGAAGAAAACACGTGAAAGGAGCCAAGGAAAAATGGCATGAACTGTGGAAACAAAGCCATAAGTAAATAAATCTATCTTAAAATAGAGTAGCAACTAGAAATCAACTCATTCTATACACTGGAAATGGTTAAGAAGTAAAAAAACAACAACAAAAACAACAACAACAATAAAAAAGCGACAAAATTAAGAAAACTGATCCTAATGAAATGACTAAAAAGAGGGAGGGAGGGAGAAACTCTTAAGCCAAAGATACAATTGGGGAAGTTACTTAAAAATATTTGGAGAAATCTGGCTAAGGAGCTAGCTTTCTTTGCTTCTCTAGAAAAGTGAAAAGGGGTCAATTTGAATAGCAAATAGAATTATTCTTGGCACTAAGGGTTGGGGACAGGTTGGCAGAAATGGAAGTAAATGGAAATAGTTTCTATTAAATATCTATTATGCTCCACATAGTGTGGTAGTAATTTTGTTCAATATTCACAAACAATTCTCAAACAAATGTATTAGCACTCATTGTATTTATGAGGAAACTGATATTTTTCAGGATTAAAAAATTTACCCAACAGCTAACAAATTGAAGAGCCAGGGTTTTAACTCAAAGTTAAGTTTAACTCAACGTTTATATCAAAGTCTTTGTCCTTTCTGCTACTTTTTGGCTGAGAATTTGCAACATTGAAGGGGGCGGTTGTAAACTCCATCCTTGTGGATGTGTTTGAGATTAGGTCAAAAATACTATGGGGGAATATTTTGTGAGCAGTTACGCTTGGAAGCAGTCCAAATGGATGTCTTCCAAATTAGTAAGAAGCTCTAACCTTTCCGAAAACTATCCTGTCAATTGTCCCTATATATGAGTAGTTTAGGAGAAAGATGGATTGAGCCCAAAAGGCCTGGATTTTCCCTTTGTTGTTAAGTGTCACTTGATCATTTATCATTTTGTTTGAAAATGGCCCGTCTTCCGAAAGCAAGGTCAGTATTTGTGAGTTTTTAGATAGGGGCTTTCATCATGTTTGTTTAGCCCTGTCTACAACATCAACATCCTGACTAATAACCTGGAACAATGATAGGAGTCTGGCTCTAAAAGAGCAAAGGTTTTATGGCTGCTTAGCTCTTAGCTTTTCAGGAAAACTATCACTAAACTTCAGAGTGGAAATAATATAGGCTTCATCCCTGTGAAAATTACAAAGAAAGAAAATACAATAAAAACAAAGCTTCTTTGGAAAAATCTAAGAAGACAAGATTGTCTCTTTTATCTGTTAATCCTAGTAAGAATTGCTAAAAAAAAAAAAATCCTAAAAAAGCTCATTAAAAAATTATGTGTATTTTATAGAAATAGACAAGAAGAATAAACCTCAAAATGATACAGTATTTCTACTTGGATGGCCACATTATGGGTTATTTTTAAACAATTTTTCCCTTCGCTTTTCTGAATTTAATAAAATTTCTACAATAAGCTTTACTTTTATAAACAAAAAACTTTAAAATTTAGATTACTTAATTTTATTTGAATTGTGTAAGATCCTGAGGAGTTAAGAAAAAGAAAAGATGTTATTTGTATGTGGTTCTTATAAATCAGGTGTCAAAACTCTAACAAAGAATAAAATATCCTTTACTAAATCATGTTCTTTGAAAAACCTAATTCTAAATTACTACGAGGGGGATATTTTCTTCCAGAAAGAATTTCTGAGTTTGTTTCTTTTTTTCTTTTTTCCTGGTTGTCCTACAGTCTTCTGTTTCCCTTCATGAATCTCCTCTTGAGCAGTGAAGAGAAGTACTGTAGTTCAGTGAGAAAACAATGTTATGTTAAATTGCTTCCATTTAAAAGGAGCTTATAGGGGAGCCTGGGTGGCTCAGTCAGTTAAAGGATTGACTCGATCTCAGCTCAGGTCATGATCTCAGGGTGGTGAGACTGAGCTCTGCATGGAGCCCCCAGCCCCACCCCGCACTGGGCTTCCTGCTCAGTGGGGAATCTGCTCAAGATTCTCTCTCTCCCTCTCCCTCTACCCCTCCCCTCCTCTAAAAATAAATAAATAAATCTTCTAAAAGGAACGGATATGCTGAATTCCAACCAACCATGATAGATAGGCCTAAAAATGGCTTGATATTTTGCAAGACAATTACTTTCAAAATTCATTTTGTCATAGTGGAATCCGGCTAGTTCGGTTAAAAGTTAACACCACTGGCTTATTTTTAAATTCAATTTTAGAAAAGATTATAAAATCATGGACCTAACTTTGTTTTTCTAGTGCTTGTGCCATTATTTAAGTTTTTATGTCCATAACAAACAAAAAAAAAAGTTTAATACTGTACTGTAGCTACGTTACTTTCTGCCAACACAAACCCATCCAGCAGCTTTGCCTAGACACAGAGTGTCTAGGGAGATATTTTAGGAAGATTTCAGGGAGATATTTCTGGCAATGGCATATGAGATGATCTGTTGCCCCCACAGTGAGATGCTCATTGTTTGAAAACAAGTCCATTACTATGCTTAAAAATCATTCAGGAACAGGAGCAACACAAATATTTATCATTATTGGTCACTTGCAATTTATTCATAGGGCTCCAGCTGGCAACCATCTGGTATATAAAACTGAAAACTGAAGGGAAAAAGTAAAGTAAAAGTCACTGAAAAATATTATTTGGTCTCCATGTGTCTTTAATACATATTAAGTTAGTGAGTTAGTTGTTAGTGGAATAAGAAACATATATGGAATTTAACACAAAGGTAAGTTGAAATTTTTACTCAAAAGTATATGTTGAAGGACAAAAATGAAGAAAGTAACAATATCCTAATTAACTGACAAATGTACTGGGGAGTGTAGCCTAGGCTGTAGTAACAAATGACTCTAAAATGCATAGGGGCTCAGGTGCAGTAGAAGCTTTTTCTCTCTCAACGTTATGACAGGTTAGTAGAAATTTCCCGGAGCAGTGACTCGGGGTCCTAAGCTGTGTTGTGGCTCCTTCATTTCATAGGGCCCATGGATTGAATTCAACGGTCCATAAGCTCCAAAGGATCCATTAGAATTCAGAGCTGTCAGTATACTTGTATGGGGAAAATTACATCCCTTTTAACTCTGATCCAGAATTTATCGTTTCCTTTAGTTATGAATGTAGGCAAAAACCACAGAAGTATTAGCAGTACTTGGGACTTTGTAGCAAAGAGAAATCACAGATAGTTTTTGTTATCAAGCTTCCAGATGATTGCATCCCTGATTGTCACCTTGAATGTAGCCTTCTGAAAGACTCTGAGCCAGAACCACCCAGCTAAGCTGCTCCTGACCCACTGAAACCAGGAGATAATGTATGCTTTAGGAGTTAAGTTTTGGGGTAATTTGTTCCATAGCAATAGATCACTAATATACCTGTTTATTATCATATCACTAATTTTATGAGTATTATGATAATTGGATTCAATGTAATTTATTTCCTTTATAATTCTAGTATTTTGTTGTATGTATTTTTAAAACATTCTTGATGCAGTGGTGGCTGGGAAATGTAGCCCTTGGTGAACAACATTTGCTAGCCATTGTTTCATCTAAGGGGAGGATATATTTTAATAATGCCAGAGCAAATGCCCAAATATTAAGAAAAGCAATGAAAATGATATCTGCTAGAATAAAATCTTAAAGCTAATTTGAGAAATAAACACAGTCAAATCAAAGAAGCAGATGGTAATGACATAAACTATATTCTGTGAATTGATTTTTCTTCCAAGTGATAAGACATCTACAGATCTGAAGATATAGAGAACTAATTTGAGTCCAGCATCTAGATCAGAAAATCAGAAGTGAAATTTTTCTTTTGTTGTCCTTAATAAATTTTGTCAGGTTGTGAATATAGAATCTTAATTTTTCTGAAGGAATGGAATACAATCATTGGTGTTCATTCATTCATTCAGTAAACATTTGCTGAGAGCCTACTATGTAACAGAGACTATAGTAAGTCCTGGGGAAAATGAGATTGCCAAAAATAAGACCTCTGCTCCTGGAGCTAATGATGAAGGAAGTGGCTTAGCCAACTAAATCTCTACAGTGTTCTCTGCTGAGTACTGTGGCATACATAACCACATGGTGCTAACAGCAGAATAATTCACAATTACTTTTTTAATTTCAACATGCCTTGGGCTAAAAACATGATATTAAATTGGAATGTCAGGCTCCAGTTGTTAAATAGGATAAGATTTCTTTGCGATCATTTATGGGGCCCTTCCCAGGAGCTCTGAATCCACAAAGTAAAGCTATCCCTCAATGTTCACAGAAAGCTTTCAAAAAAGATTCCAGTCCTCTACTGATGCGGGAATGGCAAGAAAGAATTCTTAGAAGTCCACCATAAGGTCCCATACATGTAGTATCATGTGAAAAATTAGTTATCCTGTGTTCCCTCCAACAATGACAAGCCAATCGGTAACTAATGACTCCTGGAGAAAAATCAGGACACGGGAAAATTGAGCTGCCAATAGCTTGTCAGGTGTCTTATTTAAGAAGATTAGGCAAGCCTATTTTTCCCTTGGACTATATCAGCCCCATGCTCCGTTACATGGCTTGATGAGCAGGGAAACAGAGTGCAGCCTGGCTCTCAGTCCCATTTGAACCTGAGGCTGCACATTCCAATGCAGACAATATATGACCATGAGTCACAAGCAGAGGCCCTGCTGGAAGTTTCTTCACAAAACAGTACCTCTCTCCCTGCTACACTCTCCTTCTGAACACCTGTCACTTTGTTATTCCCCCCTCAGCAACGTGGGATTTCTAGCACCACATCTATTCTCCCTAGTTAGCCAACAGGATTATGCAAGAATTATATTCAGTTTCATAATGTTGAATACTCATTCATCATTCAACAAATATTTATTGATAATTGTTCCTTGGATGAAATAATTAATTTTACACTTATAACAAATAAATGATAGGAAATGCATTGTCTCTTTGAACACAAGTAACCTCACATCCAGAAACTTCTAAAATCTATATTTCATTGAAACATCACTCTTTGTCATTGCATGTATCAGAAAAAATAAGGGAGTGAGTGATTATCCCAGTTCTACTTAAAGAAACATTTAATTTTTTTTGAAACATTTAATTTTTAAGAGCTCTTCTTCAAAATGATCCGACTGACACTCAGGAAGATTTTTGCCTCTGTGATAGGTAATCCATACCCTCAGTTTAAAGCCGTGTTTCTCAAGCCTGGTGTCAACACTGGTGAGTGGCATTCAGTTGTACAGCATTTTGAATGCAACTTTTTTTTTTAATTACCAAAGTCATGATATGAACCTAGATACTCCCCCCTCCTCCTCTACCGGAGAAGTGTGTCACCATTCATCCCAGTTCATTCTTGAGAGCAAATGGTCCTAGGACCACAAAGAGCAGCCTCACCTTATCTTAGAAATGCAAATTCTCAAGTTCCCACCACAGAACCACTGAATCAGAAACTCTGCGATGAGACCCAGCGAGCCACGGTTTAACAAACCCTCCAGGTGACTGTACTGTACACTCAAACTTGAGAACCATTGTGATAGACCCATTCCCAGTTGATCAAATGGTCCTTGTCTTGTAAATAAGCTCAGGAAAGAATCAAATGCTCCTTAACACAATAGGCTAGCGCTGTTATTTCACAGGATAGAATAAAAGTCATGTTAATAGGAGGAATATAATGAGTCTGGACAGTGGGGGAAGCAGAGGCAGTTGTACGGGCCCCTAAGTAACTTGAGGCAGGGAGGGAGGATTGGCGGCAGCCCTCACTGGTGTAAAGATTGGACTGAAATCTGAGCACATGCCGCCTGCCCCCTGCAACATCTGCATGGGAGCGCAGCTGTCCTCTCTTTCCTGCGGAGCCAGAGAAACATAGAAAGAGGGAAGCCACTCTCAGCATCCATGAAGGTTTGCAGTCAATGGCATAAGAAGAAATCTATTCTAGACAGTTCTCCAGTGAGGACAGGCAGAGGGAGGGTGTGAGTACACCGGAAAGCAGAGAGCAGAGCTTGAGGAGTTATGAGCAAGGGTGGGGCGAGAGTGGGGACGGGTTGGCTGGAAAAGGCTTCTGAAGCAAGTTAGGAATCCCTCAAAGACCTGAGGAATTTTTAACTATCTGTATAGTTAAAGTCACAGATCCCAGTTCCTTCTAATTAAATCGCTTTAGGAATGATTTTACAGTAGAAACAAACTGCTTAGAGCACCGTTAGAGTTCATGGTGAGAAGACCAGTGAGATGGTATTCCACCTGGGAAGACAGCTCCGCTCTCTGATCATAGGAAGGGCTTTCTGACTCTCACACTCCAAGCTGAAAATCCGGCAGCTCGTAACGCAAAGGACCAGTAGCCTGTTGCCCCTGACTGACCGTCGGGACCAGCAATGTCTCTTTGTTTTCTGTGAAGGAAATGGAATAAATGGAGCACTACCGCAAGGTCCTTGGGCAGCTGACTATTCAACTAGTCCTGCCATCTCGGGGCTCAGCCTCTCCCTCTACAGAGAGCAGTGTGTTCCAGAAGCCAGTGACAGCTCTGGCTGGGCCTGGGTACCCTGGAAAGGGGGTATGTTATTCTTGTCAGATCAGGCTTACTTAGGACTAGAATAAAGTGAAAGATAATGGCAACTCCAGAAAAGATAATATTCATACAGAAGGCCAATTCTAGGCCAGATGTTGCCTTAAACCAGGGGTGGGCAAGCTTTGGCTCACAGGCGAAATCGAGCCCTCATCCGACAACACCAGAGTTCAGTGGTTGTAAGTAAAGAATGTATGGCCCACATTAGGCCTAAAATATTTACTATCTAGCCCTTTCCAGAAAGAATTTGCTGGTTCTGCCTTAGACTCAACTCTGACTCTTGGGTCTTGGAAGGCACCAAAGCCCTCCCCACTCTCAGGGCCGCTCTGTCAATCCAAGAACCTTAGTCATGTTTATTGCCATTACCCATAGTTGATCTCTACAGTTTTACCAAAATAGAATAGCTCCTCTCCTTGCCTATTTTGCTCTTCTTTTCTTCTCTTCAAAATTACATTTGATGTTCACTTTCCAAAAGAAAAGTGCCTCTTTCCAACAGTGGCTTTGCCTTCTGTTTGGCAGCTTTTTCCCCATCAATTGATGGTCTCTTACTAGGCATACTAAGGGCTCATCTTGGTGTCCATCTCTGGGTAACTCACTCATTTTCTTCATCCCCCAGCCACTGACAAGCAAAATATATTTTTAAAGATTTTATTTATTTATTTGACACAGAGAGCATGAGTGAGCATGAGCAGGGCGGAGGGGCAGAGGGAGAGGGAGAAGCAGGCTCCCTGCTGAGCTGGGAGCCCAACGTGGGGCTCCATCCCAGGACCCTGAGATCATGACCTGAGCTGAAGGCAGATGCCTAACCGACTGAGCCACCCTTAATCAAAATATTTTTAAAAGC